AGCTCATGCGATAAAGAACAAAAAAATTGATTTATAACTGTTCTGGAGAACTCGTGAGTATGCCTAATTGTAAAGGTTGAAGTCATCGACTAATTTTTCAGGGGGTTCGTTAAGATGCTGCGAAGGAGCCTCCCTTAGGAGAACAGAAGTGAGGAAAAGTGATGTTTAGGCAAACTGAGAAAGCTCTTAAAATGGAGCAAAGAGGAATCACCAGCAGTCATCGCTCAGAACGGAATGCGCCATGCTTTCGACTCTCCCAGAAGTCGCTTGGGAGATACAAAAAAACGAATTCGCTCTACATATAAGGGTGTCCCTGTAGGCTGGTTGTATTGGACGTTCTTTTGACTGCCTTTGAAATTGATTTGGCTGCTAGATACAAGGATTGAGCGACACCTGTCGCTGGCGAAAGGTCACCTCCATTTGTTTATTCACGTCAGTAACCATTTGTCTCCGCTGTTTCTCACAAAAAATGATTTGCCCCGGATTTCCTCTACCTTCGCCACTAGAGCACCTTCTATGGCCTTCGAGGTTTCTGAGGCTCTTTCTTTGGAATTGTTACTTCTGAAGAATTCACTAATGGGATCAAAAGACGAGCATTCATCGTCCCGAATGTATCATTATTCGAATAGATAATTAGCCTGGCTTTGAGAGGAAGCCATTTCTTGTAGACTGATGCGAAGAGATTTGTCATGGAACCATGCCATATGCGGCATTCAGGGAACACATTTCATAAGAGTAGGGAACCAGTGACACAGTGAAACTCGTCCAATTTCAGAGGCGATTACGACGGATCCAAATGAATCGTACGTACGTCTTAATATTGGAGGAAAATCGTACTACGTTCGTAAAGAGCTCTACACGGAAGAACGGACGCTGATGCATGATATCGTGGAATCGACCCATGAACAAAGGTGATTTTCGGAGTGATTTATACCCCTCTTCAAACTTTCCTTTATAAAGCCCCTATTACAGGTTAGCTATGGTGGATGGTTGTGATCCCAGTACAGGTGAATACTATTTGGAACGAAATTCCAGGCTAGCTGATCATATTGTGGATTTCTTTGCTACAGGTGAGAATGGCTTATGCCCATTGGAATCGCGGGGCAGTATATTGTAAAGTTTCAATTTTTCTGAATATTAGTAAATTTCCTGGTAATAGCTTAGCTCTTTTTTTGGTCTTCACTAATGTTGATAATTTTTTGATTTTTTCTGTGTAGCTCCTGGCTTTGTTTTGGTGACATTCTACTGAAATTTTGATGTGTTACAATTACATTTTCATTCTTGTTTTTGGTACTCCGTTGGAAAAGTGTCAAATAAACAACAACAATAACAACAACAACAACAAACAAAGCCGATACTTAACAATTACTATCAAACCATGCTTTTTTCTAACATTAAATCTGCTCCATCTCAGGGTCCTTTGTTCCTGTAGGTGGATCATGTCAATATGAGACTCGTAACCTTCCAAAACAATCTATCTTATTGTAGTAGGTGACATAGTAACAGTAACGATGTTGGTTGCTAAGATACGGTAATATTGTGATCCCATTTGTTCCCCTGTCATGACTGTCAAAAGAAATGAGGCATGGGCTTTGTTTCACGAAGCAGCAAGGGGGAGATTTACCGATTTTCTTGATGGGAACGATATTTCCAGAAATAGCATGGCTCTGATATATTCTAAATTTTTATAGAGGGTATCGTTTTATTAGTTTCAGGAAGTCTGCATCGACCTCAAAATATGTGCATAGAAAAATTCAAAGAAGAGCTAGAATTCTGGCGAATAAGTCATGAACAGGTGGGTCATTATATTTGAAAAAAATAGTACTAGTAAGAATAAATGTTTGGAAGATCTACCGCTTCTAAATATACATGTATAAGTTTTTTCGAAAGCATTTGGTCCGCTTGAAAGGCCTATTGATAGACCCGACTGCATTCACTATTTTGAAAGAAAACAGGATATGTGGCGCGTTCCGGAAGAGAAAGTAACAGTGTGCGGTCTACACTGCATTTTTTAGAGAATTTTTGACCACTTTTTTTATTGTAATGTTCAATCACTTGTCATGGATGGTAGTAAATTTAATAGAACAATAAATTAGAAATGAATTTATCTAAGTCTTAACCCCGTAGGCAATTATTCAGAAATGCCGAACAGCTGCGCGTATTTATATAGGCCAATCAATCATCTGAATGTATCGTCGCTGGTTTTCTGTGGGTAGGCAAAAGCTTCGGAAGAAGAACCCGTAGGAATGTTGACGTCACTTTGGAAAGCGCTCCATTGTCGGTTGATTGGGTGCTCACACGCCACGGCGTGATCTCGAAGCACCGTAGGCAAAATTGAATTACGCTAAGGAGCTCTTGACATACTCTCGCAGGCGGCTTGTCGATCTGAAAACAAGTCCCCTTTTTGCCATGCGTTGTTTACTACTTTCTCTAAGGGGTCTGGAGTATAGTCGCAGAGTTGTAGAGGTATTCCTCAAAGTAAATGGTTATCACCTAGGATCGCAACACCTCTACAGAAAGGTAATGTTACGGATGGTAGAACTTCTGAGAGCTACGCAGTTCCCGTGGATACATTACGGTTAATCTCCTGTCACAAAATGTGATGTAACGGGCTATAAGACAGGCTTGTACATAGGGTGGTTTATGTTATCGTCGACGAGGTTGAAGAGACGTAATCATACTCGAGAAACAGTTATTGCACGAACAGCGGGTCACCTATTGAAGACTACTGCTTCGCGTTGCTCAATCCCTTTCTGGAACGCTCCTTGCATCCGACCTTAGAACCATAGCAGCGTTTCGAATGCGAATGTGATCTCCACGATGACTTGTGGTGGTCAGCCGATGTACAAGTCAGTGCTTTCATCCTGCTAGATTTGGAGTCTGGTACCAGTTGACCGACCTTGAACGTATGGTAGGCTTGGTTGCTTGGAAGGATACCAGCACTAGATCCGATCTCTGGGCAATGCCTGTAGTAGTGCGCCAGTTAACCCTTTGCCAACTGCTGCTGCTCCGAATATATACTTCTAGCCAGATATCTGAGCTTTGAGTGAAGCAACGTTTGCGATCTCATAATTTCCGTCTGGTTTCTGGGACGAAACTTGAAACTTTTTGAAACCTCAGCAGCTTTGAAATCCTGCAGTTCAATCTCTCAACCTGTGTGCTGCTTCTGCTCCTCGATTTTGAGACAAAATCAAGAGTCTTTGAAGTTGAAGTATCATTCTTCTTTTGCAGTAGTACTTCAGTTGCAGTGACAATCAGTAATTTCAGATGGCATCATGTTGTACATTACCGACATGCTCATCATCAGGCAAACCTCCACTGCAACATGCTTCCACGTTTGATGACTTCGAGACAGACTTTGATGGAGTGAGTTCTTATTCTGATCAGGTTCCTTAAGATGTCGACGTGTTCACGGATCGGTCTCTGTTCAGGCTCGCCTGCAATCCTTTCGACTTTCTACCTGGCGATTTCTTGAAGATCCACAATCATCAATGCCAGCAGCAATTTTCGCAATTCTTTCGGTGGTTTTCGTCTTTGGCAGTGTTTTCGGTGAGTTCCGACATTCTCTCTATTATTAATAAAACTTGTAGTTAAAAGTTTCAGTTAAAATTTGGAAAATTTATTTCAGGGTTAATACTTGGCTCAATGCCAGAATTTCAAGAAGATCCTAGTAATGCTTCTGCTTATCATTCAATGCATGCTAAGACCAGTGAGGTTTGTAGTTCGACCCTCCATTGGTTTTCAGTAAATTCATTGGTTCATCTTCTACGGATGCAGAACTTCAATAATATCGCTAGTGCAAATGCATATATGATCGGTATCGATTATATGCGCGTAAAATCGATACCCGTCTGGAAGTGCATGCGTGTGCTGTGAAAGATTCTATTATGGAATCGTGGTTATGCATGAGTCTGCAGTGCGAGAGCTTTATGTAAGTCGTACCTCAGCATCTTATGAATGCATTGAAGAATCATTGGAATGTGATGGAAGACATCCCTATTTACATGACAACATGCAAAATGGTATCGATTATGTGTGCGTAAAATCGATATCTATCTTAAAGTGCATGCGTTTGCAGGGCTAATGCCCATCTTGTAGTTTTGCACTTTCTGTCGTAAAACCGAATTTTGTCTATGTATTTCAGTTGGAGAAGCTTCATAAATTCCTTCCGTCCGTCACAAAGAACGAGGAATTTCCTGATTTTGTCTATCGACCAACCGACTCTCCTATGTTTACACTTGTTCTTCTTGAATATGTCTGCATTGGATGGTTTACATTTGAATATGTAATAAGGTCAGTTTGAAATCTTTCCAGTACTGTTTTTGAGTAAACCTAATCCTGTTTGAGGGCCCTTAACCCTCTAGGCGAAGCTTATGCGTAAATTTCGATAGGGCCTGACAGCTGGGCCTTTGGAAACATCTGGCTTCCCCTCAAAGACATTGCGAATTTTGTGTGATGGGTTGAATCCTACAGTGCCATGCACGAGCTGACCATTGTCCGAATCTACCGTGACTGAATTTTCGCCTTACCGTAACCTACCGTACAGGGGGTCTGCCAGTGGTCTGTTGCTTCCAGCCACTACGCCAGAGGAACCGTTCAATTTGAGTGCTCCGAATGAAACCTACTTAGCTGATCTATCGTTACGGCTTGTCACGGTGTATGTAGAATTAATCAAAGCCGAAATAGTAGAGCGGCTCTATGACCAGGTTGAGAATTCGCCCCTCTTGTAGTCATCAAAACTTGTTGGTGTATCGCCGTTAATTCTTTGATATCACTATGTCTTTTGTAGACTTCTCATATACCCGAAACGAGGTGAATTTCTTCGAAAAACTTTGAATGTCATCGATTTATTGACTATTTTGCCATTCTATTTGGAGTTGTGTCTACCTGTTATCGGAGTTGAATCGCACTTCAAAGAAATCACGGGTGAGTTTTTAATATGATCTGTTGTAGAGAAAATCGCAGTTATGAACATGGAGGTAAAAAATATTATAATTAATTCATGGTCGTATTTCAGAGATTGTAAGAAAAATTTTTCCCTACTATACTTTTCGTTCTTTTTCCTAATTCTTTTTCTGAGTCTTTTTCAAATAAGGAATTCTTTACTGGCTGTAATCTTCAATANTTAGTATCGAATTTGCAAAATTCTTAGGTGAACAGTCTACAGCTTTCTAGAACTTAAGGTATTTCTCTGCCATTTTCCGTTGCTACAGCAGAGGACCACTACCTCCGCAGCCACCTGTCTGAACTTCGCATGCCTTGATTTCTTAGTGATTTCTAAGTTGTCCTGTATAATGATTTGGGGATTGTCTCGTAAAGGTCAGTATGTTCATCCTCTCTGACCGATTTCGCTTCCCAAGAATAAACGGCTTAATGGGTCAGTTGTGGGACTCGATGATCGGCTCAGTTCATGTTCATTCATTTGATACTAGCATCATTTGGGACTACCCTATCCGAGTCAATGGAAGGAAGGTGGCGAGTGTCTTTGGGGAACAAACAGGACAAGGATGCCACTGAGCAGGTTTAATCCTTCGGTGAAGATTGATCCTACCTAAGAAAGTTGGCTCATGCATGAAAAGCTCGGTCCTGAATGAGAATCGAAGGAGAAACTGTGTTCCCGGCCAGCTCCATTTAATTGCTATTATTAGTCTAATTAGAATGAGTTTTCATCTAACACTATATAATAAATAGTTTTTTTTACTCTCGTTAAACGTTTGCAGGCGAAGATCTGGCGAGGGGAGCCCAAAGATGGATGGGTAAATGTTTTCGTGTTTATTCTAAATGTTATCACTGAGTGCTTTTCTTTTTGAAGTGTGCGCTGAGATTTTTGTCGCTTGTTGGGTCCTTCTGCACGACACTTTTTTGATGTGATTCCGTCATAAACGAATGTTCCAATGGGAATTGGATCATTTCAGGAGCGATGCTGGTTGTAAGAATTTTACGAGTTCTAAAAATGGCTCGAGTGTTTAAGCTTGCACGATATAGCAGTAGTCTACAAGTGAGTTTCCTTTTTCAAACCTATCTTCTTGTAATTTTCCCTGGGTCCGGTATTTTCCCACGAACACGGCATCGCGCTCGCCGCACCCGCCGCTTATAGCAGTATTGCGATGGAAGATTGGAGCGCGCAATCTGTGAGTTGGGGAGTCCTTTAATTGGCCTCCCTTCAATTCCAATGCGGTCTTGATCATCTATAATAGAGGGGTAGTCATTCCAAACAGTCATGTCCAATGAACATAAAAACGAAAAAGAAAGAGACAAAACATCGAAACCAATCAAAAAAGGAAGGCAGCCCATGTAAAATATTGCGCCTTATCGATTGGCGGGAGGCGGGGCGAGCAGGGTAATTGCAGTTTGGAGCCGCGAGGCAACTAAAAAAGATTCGCCCCATGCCGCGAAGCGGACGTCCGCACCCGGGGAGAAGTTCCGTTACATATTTCCCCTGGACAGGCTGGAACAGTCAGAAATTTTTGAACTATTTGTTCCGATCCAATGAGGGCATGCATTCAGAGTGAGAGGTGAGAAGACGGTGCTCCCCGACGCTCCTAATAGTCAGTCATGGGAGCTCTATCCGAACCACTACATCCATATTTCTAACAAGAATTCTGCCTCAAGTGAAGCCTACTGCATTCATTTTCAGACATTTGGGCAAACACTGAAAGCGTCTATCACAGAGCTGAGCATGTTGAGTATATTTCTACTCACGGGTATTATATTTTTCTCTACTATCATGTACTATTTGGAAAAGGATGAACCTCACTCAGATTTCTATTCAATACCAGCTGCTTGCTGGTGGTGTGTGTAAGTTTTAAAATCATTCCCATCAATACTTACTTGACTTTATATGATTTTGTGCTTTCTGACCGGATTTAAAACTCCATTTTTGGGCTAGAAGTACGTGTGTTGTTGTTTTGTCAGTAAAAAGTTATATCAAGAAAATTTATGTTTTGTTTTGGATTGGTCTAAAATTGATGTTTACAGAGTTACAATGGCAACTGTTGGTTACGGTGATGCTAAGCCTGTTACCGTATGTGAGTGAGATTTTTTTCTTCTAAAACTGGTATGACAAAAGAAAAACAGGGAGTTCCTATCCGTAGTCAGATCCTAGCATATGATAGGTGATAGTTTATGTTTGTAGAAGTCACAGAAGGTAAACAGCGTAACTAGGCAGTCCAAGTTGGCCTTAGCCTGCACTGTGAGACCTGTGTGGCTGGTCTTATGGAGGTTTATTGCATATTTCTTTGGGCAGCTTTTCTGCCTGGTCCCCTAGAATAGGTCAAATCTCACAGGCGTGCTTGATACACTAAAAAACTTATATTCGGCCGAAGCCAAAAAGTTTTCGTCAACTGGCCATCACTTCTTTTTCGATTATCTGCCTGCTTGTCCAAGACCT